GGAAGGAGGGAGGGAAGGAGGGAGAGAGGGAGGAAGAGAGAGGCAGCTAATTATAGCCTCTTTAACCTCTTTAACATCTGGGACAAGTGAGAGAGGCAGCTTTACTCAGGGCCTTGAGATTTTCCTGAAGGGAAGCTTGGGATAAGGGGAGGCAGGGCCTGAGAGTACACGGCAAGCCTTGGTTAAGGACCTCCATCACTTGCTCCTCAGTGATGAGAGCTGTGCACTGGGGATATAGCTTGGAGACTTATGGTCTCCTAACAGTCACGAAGCCAGTGAGGAGGGGTTCCCCCCAACGAAAGGTAGACAGATAAGAGTCCTTTGCCTTTAGGGCCAGCGTAAGAAATATCAGGCATGGTGGGTACTGGGGCTTAGGTTTGGGGGCCCCTGGGATCTGGGCAGCACACACCTTCACACTTTAATCCCTGCTTCACCAGTCCCCAGAGCAAACTGCCACAGTGGTCACAGAAGGTGGGGCTCATGTAGTTATAAACCTTGAATCGGTGAGGCATGTCAATGTTGAAGCGTTCTTTCTGAAACTGGACGGGAAGGATATCGCAGGTCAGGGGTCACATGGCAGTTCTCCAAAACTGTGGGTTGTCACATGCATAACAGGGTTCCACCAAGATCTAGGAAACTCAAAGGCCCAAGGAGCCCAGGCAAGATGCAAGGAAAGGCGAAAGAAAATGAGGAAAGAGGGTGAGCCCCACAGAGAGTCTAAGGTACCCACGGCCCTCCCATCTGACAATCCCCCCACCCCACCCCCGCGCCCTGGGCCCAGCTCACGATGGTGTCCCGGCTATTGGTAGCAGTGCCAGTGCAGCGGCCGATAATCTTGTCGATGCATTTCTTGTGGATGGCGGCGTTGCATTCTTGAAGGGGCACAGGCCCAGGATGGGGCGGGGGAGGCACCAAGAGAGGCAGAGTCTGAGCTGGCACTGCTGGCCAACTACAGCCCTCTGCACAAAGCCAGCCTTCTCACTGGCCGCCCACACCCTCACCCTACACAGGCCTCAGCCTGGGGCTTTATTCCCCCCCACCCCTGCTAGCCTTTCCAGAACAGCCTGAAAAGCATGGGCAAGAGATGGGCCAGTCTAAAGGGTTGTAAAAATTAGAGAAGGCTCGAGGACTCTCAGTAGTGAGGCGCGTGTGCATGTGCGTGTGTGCCTGTGCATGTGTGTGTGAGGGCGGTGGGTAGACATGAGGCTGCATAGGAAGGCAAGCCCCTCTTTCCCATTTCTTTATTCCAGGTAAGCAAAGGGCTGCTGAGCTCTCTTTCACAGGTACACACGACACATACACCCCCATGCCAAGACACCTGTACATCCATACAGAGCACGGGTAACCACGACAACAGACTTCTTTTACTGAACACTCACCAACTGCTAAGCCCTCAAAACATAGCTTACATGTTATCCAGTGGGTGTTCACACTTGAATCTATTATCTAGAGTTCACGGACAAGGGAACAGGCACCTGACCAGTGCTGAGAAACTTGACCAAGCCTGTGCAGTTGGTAAAGCAGCCTGTGCTTGCTCACACCTGCAGTCTGCGGAGACTACCACAGATGTCGTGTCACGGTGAAACGAGTGCTCACGCTCACACCTATGCATCACACAGGTGCATCCACGACAAGCACACAAAGTCAGGGGAGGGCTACTGAATATCTCACACCCACCCCGGGGGCAGAAATCTTGTGTGTGTCCATGCTTAGTCTGTGGCTGGTTTCCGTGTAAATCTCTACAACAGCTGATTTGGGGCAACAACCTGAGAACTTGCACAGAGTTGGGAAGGAATGCACAGAACTGGCTCTGACCAGCTGCAACAAGCCAGCCTGGCACTAACTGAATTGAGCACACACACTCATGTACATAGGGCTCTTGTCCAGACTTGCTATCCAGACCCAGGGACACAAACAGTGGCATTCATCAACACACACATATGCACAAACAGAGGAAAGACTTACGCCTGCATTTGTAGCCTTGCTTGTTGAGGCCCCTGAAAGGCAAAGCCCCAGCAGAGTGAGTGAAGACGCTCCAGCTCAGTCCCTTCTTTCCTGTGCCACCCCCCGCAGGGCTTACCAGCCCTCACCAGACAAACTCTTTGCACACAGAACAGAAGGTGGGCTGCCCAAAGAAGGTGGCGATGAACTCATGGTTCTTGATGTAGTGGATCTTGGCCTGTTTAATGGCTCCACGACGGTTCATGGTTGGAAACTTGGCCTCCTCCTCACTACGCATAGACTGCTTGCAATCTACGAGCCATACAGTGAAGTCAGCCCCAGTCCATTAAGGTCAGCCCCACCTTCAGTCCTTCCCAAGATGGCCCCAACATATCCCCACGGGAGTTGTTTCCTTAGGCATTACTTCCAGCTCTGCCTCTGACCTGGCAAATGAGCTTCCCCCTGCCCAGGTGGGGGTCTTACCCCCATCCTCCAGGAAATACTGCACACACATCAGCACCTTGGCCTGAGGCTGCAGATCCAGCTGCAGGGGTGGAAAGGGGATGTCAAGTCAGTGAGGGCGGGCCTGGCCCAGGTGAGGCTCAGAACCCGCCCCATTGGTCTCCCTCAAGGCCAAGGGGGGGCCCTAGAGCCTGGCCAGACCCCAGCCTATCTAGGGTAGGCAGGGCCCCGCCCAAGCCCCGCCCCACTTTGCACCCAGGGTATTATTACATTTGGGGAAGTGAAAGGATCCAGCCCACACCCTGCTAGGCCACATGGTCCAGGAACATCGTGCAGGGAAACTCCCCACCCTACCCCCATCTGCACATGCAGACACCACACCACTATGCCTGATACACGCATAGTGATATGTTCTCTCTGATACAGGTTCTTCACTAGTTCAGACAGTCCTGAGAGGAATAGGCCCAAGCCTCCATCAGGTCCTAGACCCAGTGATATTTCCTTGGGGACAGCACCTGGCCAGGAGGCTCCCATATCCCTGCCTAACCAGCTAAGAGTCGGACCAGTCCTACGTGAGTCTCTCTTCTACCTAGGCTCCTTCACTCCTCACTGAAGCTGACCAGTGCTTCCAATGGTCACTGAGCCTTTTTAGAAAGACACCTTGGCTGCAGAAGATCACAGGATTATATTGGCTCTGGCATTCTGCTGCCAACAAGAACACTACCACAGATGCATCTGGCTCCAGGCATGTGCCACAAGAATATCACCACAGATGCATGTGGCCCCAGTCCTAGTTTCTGCAGGTGAGTGGGCAGATTGCCAGGTTCCTTCTCTTACCTTTTTTCTGCTAAATATCATGATGTTGGTTCCATGCCTGGCTAGTTTTGTAATGTCATCAGCATACTCCCCAGAATAGGAACAACAGGTGCCTCTGAGACGGGCGCCTGGCACTGGGGTAGGAGCACAGCACTTCACAATGCACACCCCGCCTTCTCGACAGTAATCAGTGGGGAGAGTTAGCTACAGTAACTCCCTTCAGGACTACAAGGTGTCAGACTGCAGTGTCTCCATCCTTTGTGGTGCTGGAGAGATGCTAGACAAGCTGTCACTGAGCTACATCCCCAACTCTAACTTTACATTTTCAAAATTTGAGACAGGTTCTCATTAAGTTACCCAGCAGGCCTTGAACTTGTAACCATCCTGCTTCAGCTTCCCAAGTCCATAGGATTACGAACCTAGGAAACCACAATTGGCTTGCCATACACACTGGACGTTAGTGCTCACTTAATCTGACAGGGACCCTGAAGTAAGATGTTTTTACCCCTGAAAGAGAGGCTCGGAGGGGCTGAGGACCTGGTAAATTGGGGCCAGGATACAAGCTCAGGTCACAGCAGCTACAGAGCTTAGCTACTAGCATCCATGCACATTTGAGACCCTGGCTCACAAGCCTCTCACCCAGAACTCAGCCTTGCCGTTGTTCTTCTTGCAGCGCTCAGCCAGTACTGACACGCCCACGGTCACCTCAGACATGGGGTCTTCGGCTGCCCGCATCAGCACAATCTGGATGACGCGGCCTTCATAGATGTGGGCGTCGAATGTTGTCTTCCAATCGGGATACATGGTGGGCTTCTTCTGTACCAGTGTCTTCCCTCGATCTGCAACAGGGCCAGGAAGAGAAGTCAGACTGGGACTAGTCCCCGCTTCCCTGGACCTCCTTATCCCTCAATTCCACACAGTCTACTTTCTCTCCAGCCCTGAAGATGTACTATGACTCTTCAGCAGCGTACTGAACACCCAGTTCAGTGCCTCTAGTGCCTTTAGGGCACTCTGGCAGGTCCCACCTAAAGTCCTTTGATCTGCTGTTCCCTTTCCTGTAACCCTTCTGCTCCAGCTCCATTTCAACTTCCCTTTCTGTCTACATTCACCCAGTGATCACATGTAAGAGCTGCCACATGCTAGCCATGGCCTGGTAGCAAGGAACATGGCCCAGCCCTGTCTCAAGTCCCAGGCAGAGACATGAACCCCTGCAATCCTCAGTTATCCACTAAGTCACAGCTGTGATGGGACTGAAGGGCTCTGAACCTTCAACAATCAAGTGGCCTAACCCTAACATTCAGAGAAGACTTCCTGGAGGAGGGGGCAGCTCAGTCAGAACCTCACAGGTGTGTAGGCAGTAGCCATCAGGGAACAGGTGAGAGGACAGCGAAGGGTTCCTCCTCCAGTAAGCCACCCTGACTCTAGGCTGGGACAGGGTCTTCCCTAGGCTCCCTGAGCACAGGACTCATCTCCTGTGACCTGTCTAACTCTCCTTTCTAAGGGAGAGGACAAGGCTGAGTCAGCCCTGGAGCACTACAATAGCCTTAGTGTCCAGCACAGGGCTGGGCCCAGGCAGACATGTGAAAATCATGGTAGGGTGAAATTCAAGATGTAGGAGGTTCAATTCAACCACTGTGGTGTATTGGGCACTGAGTGGCTTCTGTCTTCCTGCAGCTTCATCTGGGTAGTTCAGGAAGTCAAGAAGGATCTAGGGAAGAAGGTAAGCCTCCTCCCCTCTGAGCCCCGGGCCTCTCTAGGGACTCTTCCAACCCTACCTGTGGTGAGTGCCTCCTTCATCTTCACAGCACAGAAAGGCTGGCTTCCTTCGTCCTCAGCCTGCAGGGAGCCCAGCTCATAGGAATTGAAGGAGATGCGCAGGAACGGCGCCATGATGAAGCCTGTAGTGAGACTGTGCATGGGAAGGGATGAAGCTGAGGCAGTAGAACAGAGAAGCGGAGAGAGGGGGCTGCCAGGATGCTCAGCACCCACTCCCCAGAGAGCTTACGCCAGAGGGACTGACCCACACGTATACCAAGTGTACTGGTCCCTAGCATCAATGAGAAAAGCTGGGCAGTCTAATGTAAGTCTGGACTTGAGGCACCTCTAGTAAAACTAACAGATTGGAAACCAGACCTGTTGAGCAACAGCTACCATGGTGGCTGTTTTTCTGTCAGTCCCCATTCCTGAACTGGCCCTGGAGGCATTTGAGCCTGTGAACCTTAGGCAGTCATTTCTTATGGGCAATTACTGAACAGCTATACATGCCAGGGACCTCGAGTGAGTGGTCTCTGCCAGAAGCTTCAGTGACAGAAGCTGCCTTCTTGTCTCACTAGGCCCATGAAGCACCTCTTGATTCTTTGTCGATTTTGCTGATAAACACCCAGGCAGAGAAGCATAGCCAAAGTGAGTCCTGTTTCATCAGCAAAGGTCCTCATCTCGTAGATGGAGAAACTGAGCTTCAGACTAAGCCAGAACCGAAAGCTAGAGTTCTACAACTCTGCCCCATCTATCAGCACACCCCACCCTCTGAACAAGAGCCCCTGACGGTCACATGCCTCCTGCCTCTTCAGATTTTCTGCCCTTCAAACTGAGAATGGAAGCAGTAACCACGCAGGGAGAGAGGGGTGAGAGGACAAGGTACAGGGATGTGAAAAGGGATACAGTTTCATATTCTCCAAATATAAAACTATTTTAATGTTGAGTGTAATATACAAAGCTGGATTCAGGGCACCCTCACAAATACAAGCACCCAGACACACACACCCCACAGCCACTGCCCACCACCATCACCACCACCACAACAACAATAAAACAGCTGCCCAGTCTGAAGCAGCTCCCTCCAGCTCCTGAGCAGGGCAACCAGGTCTGCCTGGAGCTTCGAGTCCAGATGAGCTCACAGGAAACATTGACCTCAGCCTGCGGTCCAGCCCAGAGTATTCAGCAGAGCTTGGGGCCCGCACCCAGACAGAGCAGACAGACTAGAGAGGCCGGACCCACCGACTCCTACCCTGGTCTAGCTCGGACTCAGTAAAAGTGAGAGCAGGTGTGCAATGTCGGCCTGTGCCCACATCCCCAGGTCTCTGGCCTGAAACTAGCAGGTGGGCAAATGCTGAGTGCTAGACCAGTGCCCATGACAATTTGGAAGGTAGAAAAGGAGAAGCTGTGGGCTCCTCTGGGCCTAGAGCATGCCCTGAGCGCGTGTGGTGCTGGGCATGTGGAGGGGAGAACATGTCTGCAAGAATAAGACTGTCCTAGTTCGCTCTCTGTAGCTGTGTTAAACACCTGAACAAATCAATGTGAGAAAACGGATTTACTTCATCTTGTAGCTTACAGGAACCTGGTTGCAGGACCTGACCAAAGACCAAGTTGCTTACTGGCTTATTTTCTAGGCTGTCAGCTACTTTTCTTACACCTCCCAGGACTACCTGCTCAGGAATGGCACTGTCCACAGGGTCTACAGTGAACTGAGCCCTCTCACATCAATCAAGAAAATACAGACTTGCCTACAGGCCAATCTGATGGAGACATTTTCTCAATTGAGGGTCTCTCTTCTCAGATGATTCCAGACTGTGTTAAGTTCACAAAAAAACCTAACCAGCACAAGGATTCATCTGGCCATGGAAGTGTGTGTACCTGTGAGGTGAGGGCAAGTGGGTATGTGCCATGTTAAGAGGCCAGTAAATGGTGGAATGAGACACAAGCTACAGAGGCCTTGGTCACTGTAGGAGTCTTGGACAGATGTCCCAAATGCCCAAGGGAAAAAGACATCTTGAATCTCCTACTGACCTCAGAGTCCAAGGCATCAAGTGCCCCAGTGAGTGCTACCAGGGTCTGAAATAATAAGCAGGGCCCCTCATAGCACACACCTGCCATGGGCCTATGTCCAGATACCAAAGGTCAGATCACAGTGGGCACAGCTGCCTCTGCCTCTCAATGGGATAACCCAGACTCAAGATAGGTAGTAAGCAGCTTCCTTAGTATCTCAGAGGGTAAGGGTAAATAGGCAGAGAAAAAGTAGAAGGGACCTAGGCTTCTCAGAGACAAGAAATTACAGAGCCATCTGGGTGGCAAAGGGTAAGGCAGGACACAGGTCCTTGGCACCACTGAGTCTCTGCAACCCCATATTCCAGATGAGGATTTGTCCCTGGTCTCTAGGCTGTCTGTCATGCTAATCAGAAGCCCAGGAGGATAAGGGCCAACATCAACCTGCCAAGCCTAGGGCATACCCTTTGGCTAATGTCATTCCCAAGCCCTCCAAACAGTATATGCTCTCTGAGTCCGCTCATGTCCCACACTGTGCCCTTCTACCTGCCCACCAGTCAGGGAAAGCTGGGAAATTGTTCCCGATTCTGAGACAGGAAAATCATGTCTGCAGGAACATGTGGTAACTCATCCTGGACCTGGAGGTACTCCACACACTGTGGCCAGCCTCTCCCCACAGCTCCCTCTGGTGTCCAGTTGTGTCTGCCTGCAGCCCTATGACTTTCCTTGCTCTTAGCTTGCCCTGGGCTCAAGAAGTTGTATGGAAGGGACAAGGGGTCAGAGCAGCCACAGGAGTGTGATGCAGGGCTCAGGACTGGACCCATTGGCTGCCCCTGAGGCCTGTGCTTCAGCTAGCACTTACAGCAGCTTACTGTTACAAACCACTGGAGGGAAAACCACAACCACAGCAGGTCTGGGCCTCAGCCCTAAACCTGCATCCAAGCCACAGTGCTACCAGCACAGGGGATCCATGGTCTTTGTGGGCTGCCATGGGACAAGCCAACAGTTGTTCAGGGGTCAAATCACTTTGTCCCACATTCCTGGGACAAAAATGAGGGCAAAGGCCCTATTAATACCCACTTCACTCTCCTGTGGAATACTCAGACCCCAGAAAGGAAACAAGACAGATGAGCTAGCTAACATCTGCTTCCATCTCATTGTGACCCTGAGAGAAGAGGCTCCGGGCAAGTGTCCATCTGCACAGTGAAGTCAGGCTGCCCCACACCTTGCCATGTCTGAGCACTGGTGAGAAGCACAGAGGGAAGGGGTGCTCACCATTTATAAACTCCATGCAAATATGCCCAGAGCCACAGGCCCCAAAAGAAGGACAGTGGCTCAGCCCCAGGCTATGCAGGCACAGAGGACAGCAGGGGACATCCTCATAGCACTCCACAGGGAGCAGACGGGCCTCTCCCATTAGGGGGCTCTCAGTCTCTCTGTCCTTCTCCTCCAATCTGTCTATGAGGAAGAGAGTCAAACAGAAGCTGTCAATCTCAGCTCACACACTTCTGAGAAAGACTGTCCTGTCCAAGATGTCAACACACTGCATTAGCTTGTAATTATATTAGCTCACTTTATCCCAGTGTAGCCCCAGGAAGTGTTTTCCGGATGAAGAAATCAAGGTTCAAAGACAGTGCCTTACTCAAGGTCACACAACTCGTAAGTATGAGTAAGTGGTGGGAAGATTTGAATGTGGGCCTGCTGGATGCTGTAGCTCATGTTCTTTCTATGCCAAGGAAAGATGAAGAGAGGAGAGGGCAGAAATGGGGACAAATACTGCAGGGACAGCACAAACATTATGAGGACAGAAAAGTAAGGTAAGAATGCAGAATCCTGATCTTGGCCAGTCTATTCACCTACACTTATCCTGAGTCCTGGGCGGGGCCTGCCCTGACGAGCACTCCTCTCCTTTTGCACAACAAGGGTAGTATAGTGGCCTGAGCTGTTGTCTTTCCTCCATTTCTGAAGACCTGGGAAACTGGTCTGGGTCCCTATCCTTGCCAGAGACCAGAAGCCTTGAGGTGAGGAAGGCCACAGCAGGCAGGTCACCTTCTCCAGAACAAACAGAAGCCTGTTTTTAGTCAGCCCAAGGCACAGAGAGGCTAGCCTCCAGGTGATGAAGGAGGCACTGGTGGCCTACTGGATGGCTCCAAGTGTGGTAACAAAGAGCAGAGCCGAATGTGTCCACCTCTTTACAGCACAGAGGGGAAACTGAGGGCAAGGTTCACATGAAAGGTCCCAGCTCTCACAGGGTTCCCTCTGCCCTGGCCTGATTCTACCTCACAGGCCATAGAATTATACCCATTGGACAGAGGGAAAAGCTTGGCCTGAGGATGGAGAAGAGGGGCCTAGATCAGACCTCAATGGCAAAGTGTGAACAGGCTCAAGAAAACAATAGCTGAAGGTCCTGAGGGGTCGTCTGGCTTCTTCAACAGATCTCTGGGCACTGACCCTCAAGGAGCCCTGGTTCCTCCTCACACAGCCTTCTACTACCCACGCCTGCCTAACCTCAGACTGGTACCCACTGCCTGCCATGGAAAGTTTCATCTACTGCCAAGATTAGATGCAGATGTTGGCAAAATGGTGTCCTTCTGGGGCTACTGCTCTGCCTGGTGTATAGTCTGGGAGGGCAGAAGGAAGGAGAAGAGCTGACACAGGGCTGTCATGGAACAGGGAGAAGTGACGTGCTAGCAGGTGAGTGGAAGCTGGCTCTGTAGCTGTAAAGAACAAAGGTAGGTAAGAAAAGCAACCAGGTGGTTCCTGTGAACAGGCAGGATATAACTGGTTGGGAGGTTGATTTCCATGACAGAATTCCCTGACAGAACCAAGTCAAGGAGCCCATGGGCTTTCACAACTCTGGAGATAGACCCAACAGGAATTGCAGGAAAGGAGGAGAGAAAGCCTTTTCCAGAGCCCATGGCCTCAGGTCATAGCCAGGTCCCAGCACAGGAATGCCTTCCATGGGACTGGCCTCGTGTACTTGCCGGGGCCCCTCCTTCCACCCCTCCCTCTCTCCATGGGACTAGGTACCTCACTTGCCAGCCACTGTGAACCTGGACATGTCTCCTTAGCCAGAATGGCTTTCTTCTCATTTATCTATCTAGATAGTTCAAAAAGCCAGCCCTGGGAATCTATTCCCACTCCTGA